GCGAGAACGCCAGTTAGCACACAGACGGTTGAAATAATCGGAACCACGATGTATCCAAGCATTCAAGATGTCCTTGAAGGGAATACTTGTACTGGTGTTTTAGATGTGAGACACGCCGTTGATGCTTTCACTTCGACGAGTTTTCATTCGAGTTTGGTTGTGGATGAACTTCTCGCCTGTCCGATGGCTGAATCAAGTGTTTGTGTACACCATTTGCCGAATGTAGATTCGACCTCGTTTTACTTCCTTGGTGATTCTATTGATGTCGCGTTGCTTCCTGCGCCAGCTGAAGTTCCTGACGTTTGTGATATGCATTGTGGTATTTGTTACACGTCTGTGGTAGAATCAGGTTCGATGTATGTGTTTGAAGACGTTCAGCAAATCTCAACTCAAGAGTCCGCAATTTCCTCTAATGTTGACCACCGTTCTTTCGGAAGTTACACCGGGACGGTTGTATCTAGATATATTCCTAAGTTAGACTTCGGCAGTCAAACGGAATTAACATCGGAAACGGCCGAAACTGAGTCTTCTTGGGTTTCTGGAGAGGTACCTGAAGTTTCCTCCAGTGAGTCCCACGGTCCAGCTGAAGGAAAACCGAAGCGAGCCATTGAAGTACAATGTGATTTAGTACCACATGTCACAAAATTAGAGCAAGGATGTGAAGCTAAAATCGTAGGACATATTTTCACGGAGGGTTACGCGAGCTACGTGCAAACTCAGGAATCCCTTCTAACGACATACCCCAGTTCCGATATTCACGCGCCGAAAGACATCATAAGACAAAAAGAGACTTACCAAAAAGAGGATGCAGAAACCCAAACGGATATGCAAAATCTTGATATGACACAAATCGAAACGCACGGAGTGCCTGATAGGAAATATGTGTTAGTGGACGAAAATCGGCAACACTTAACCAGCAGCGTGAAGGCAAAACCAGAACAGCCGACCGAACATATAGAGAGGAGCATTTACGGTACAACCGATGCAGTGGTCTTCACAGAGACATACGCAGAGAAAGATCGGAAAGAAGCAGCAGAAAAAGAAAAAGCCAAAGAACAAGGGATCCTACAAGTCCTGGAAAAAACCGAAAAGCAACGTAAACACAGCAACCTAATAGACGCCAACAACTGGAGAATTCAAACCACCGAACCTCAAACAAAGGTGCCGAAAACCTCAGTTTCCGTTGATCGCACAATTCGAATGACAGACGTGAGCGTGAGCTACGTCCG